GCCGAAGTAGCCGTGGTGTAGAATACCAACCGTTTAGCCATTAAGGAATAAAAAATGTAGCTAAATAGAACTTTTCATGCTGATTTCAACCATACCAAGTTTATGTGGCGCAAATTAAAACTAAAGCCAATAAAAGAGGTTAAAGTTTAGCTTTTATATTATTTTATATGTATATAATATCTTGGAAACTATTTGACCGATCACAAACGTATTGACGCTAATTTAAAGATAATTTAAATACCTTTTACGCGACGTCTACAGCATAACCTTTTTGAAAACATATTTTAAATAAACGCCATTTAAAAAAAATATATATGTATATATATTTTTCGGTTATTAGGTATTTCTGGCTTAAAAATATAAAAAAATGAAAAAATTATATACACCAAGTGAATTACCTTTATTTTGACGTCATTAGTTTTTTAATAGGTTATATTGTTAGAAGATAATTTTGGCATGGTTGAAATCAGCACAAAAAAACTGTCGGCAAGTTGGTTGCAGGTTTGGATTATCAAAGACACAAACCAAATTCGGTAAAAAAAGGGTTGCATTCGCTTTAACTTCAATTAAAACCGGTTTTTAAGGCGAGTTAAACAAAAATTATTTGTATGGCTAACTACCGAGCTGATGAGTAGTGTTTAACGTTTAACTCCAAAATTGGTCATAAACTCGAGTTAAAGCCGCAACGTCTCGATTTGAGATAGTTAACTTTTTGGTAGAGACATGGTATTACACTTGAACTAAAACTTTTAATATATTATCTGTTGTGAAAAACTATTACTTTTTTTGGTGATTTTATTAATTTGAGTTTTATTTAAAGTTGCTTATGTTTATGTTCTTAATAGTGAAGTGTTACTCAATAGACAAATTAAATTTAATTATTTTTAAAAATTTAGAATTACTTTTTTTTACTTAGTGGCACCAATATAATAAAATGTTATAAAAATGCACACATTGAGAGCGCTCACACGTGCAAGAGTCTCGGACCCAGTTATCTATGCTCTAAACGACATATACATATGTAGTATATGTACATACAGTATCGGTCATATCTATAGCACGCCATTTCAAAGTGATATTGTGTGCCACTTATGTTTATTTATTAATTTTTAAGAATTTTCAATTAAAATATAGTTCATTCTCAGACAAATTCGATACAAACCCAAGCTTAATAATTTGTAGAAAGCTACAAAAAAGTGCAACAAATTTTCACATAAATTTCAAACTTTTTTCTCGGAAGTGTTAGAATTTTTTTGAGTACACAGTTTTTTAGCCCCTTCAATTTTAGTCTGATAATGTGCAAATTTGAAGTGGCTACGAATTACCGTTTATTTTTTAGAATTTTTTTTGTCGCATTGGCTTCCATATAATGAATAAACTCAATTTATTTGTATATGGAAGAAATCCGCAACACCTTTGGCGAAAAAAATTCTAAAAAATCAACGGTAACTTTTAGCCACTTGAAACTTGCACATTATCAGACTAAAATTGATTGGGCTATAAAACGGTGTACTCAAAAAAATTCTTACACTTCCGAGAAAAAAGTTTGAAATTTAGGTGAAAATTTGTTGCACTTTTTTGTAGTTTTCTACAAATTGTTACACTTGGGTTTATATGGGGTTTGTCTGAGAATGAACTGTATTTTAATTGAAAATTCTTAAAAATAAATAAATAAACATAAGTGGCACACAATATCACTTTGAAATGGCGTGCTATAGATATGACCGATACTGTACATATATACTAAAATGTATACTTTCTTGCAATAGATTTCAATGCACCCATTTTCATTTGGTCGGCTAAAAATTTTATTTAACGAAGTAGATTGTGTTGTAGATGTTTAGTTTAGTTTGGAACAAATTTTCAGTCTTTTAAAGATGCACGTTTATTTTAATTTTGATTATTTTAATATATGGGTGTATCCATAATTATATAGTTGTTATAAATTGTTCATCTGTAATTATGTATAATTCCTATTACTGTATTTTGCTCATTTACATTTTACATGCATATGTTCTTCACTGAAAAGTGTATCCATTTAAAAAACATCAAAATAAGTTTTTCACCTGTGATACCCAATAATTTCAAACACTGTTTTAATCCTGCTAATTTGATTTCAGATTTTTTTTACAATATATAAAATGATTTCAAAAAACATTATACATACCGTTCGTTGTTACCAATCTTCTTAAAAAAAAGCTGTCCAAAACATTTAATGAATAAATAAGCATCAGACAAAAAATAGACAACAACATAAAGGAAAAAAGAAAATGATAAAAAAGGACAAAAGGGTTTAAAAAAGCGAAACTCGATCAACAATAAATAATAAACTCAAATATACTGCAAAAAATAGAGCATGAGAAAGAAAGAAAAACAGCAGGATATAAAAAAAAATAACAGAAACAGAAAAAATATGGATTTTCATTATTTCATGGGTTATAATGTTTTTTGAACAGCAACACACCAACATCCCCGTTTAAACCATTTTATTTTCCTAACTTTAAATCACTCAACAAGTTCTCAACGATTACAAAAGAGGAAAAGAACTTATTTAAAGAAAAAATTGCAAAAGAAAGAAAAGATAAAAAGAAAATAAGCAAGAAAGATGCAGACTAAGAACAAGAAAAAAAAACTTAGCAAAAGAGCAAAAGACAAAAAGAAGAAAAGAGAAAAAATGCGCATCGTGAAAAGATGAAAAAAATTAATAAATAAAAATTAAAAGGACAGAAACAAATAAGGAATTAAAGAAGATAATATTTAAAAAGAAAGCCACAGAAAAAACATCAACAAAACATAAAACAAAAAGAAGTAAATTTAAAATTGAAGGCAGTAAAGAAGCGGAACCAAAATATTGAATAACAATGTAGCGTAAAAAATTAGGAAAAAAACAAATGAAAAATCCGATTATATTTAAAATAAATATAAAAATATGCATAAATTTTACTTCTATTAAGAAGACCCCAAAAATATCTTTCGATTAAATAAAAATAAACTATGAAAAACTTCAAAACTGTCTTTTTAGTTGTAGAAGAAGGAAAAGCGGGGAAACATGAATATGTTTGTCTAATACCGGTATGTATGTATGTATGCATGGCTGACTTCACGATCAAATAATTCCGGATCGTTGAGCTCTACTCTGAGTTGCAATATTTTGACTGGTACTACACAGCATGATAAAAATATAGTAAGGTAACATGATTCAATTATTAAAGGTTTTGTAAGTAGCTTTTTTCTAAAATTTGGCACTCCCACCCACAGGGATGGTTTATGGAAGCAGGAGAAAAAGGGGAAGAATTCAATTACACTTCCTAAAATGGGAGCTAAATTCCATAAAAAGGTGTGGATAATAGTGAATGGTGGTATTTTAAAACAAAAGCGAATTTGATTTAATTATTTAATTTAAACAAGCTTATTTACATCGAATATAACCCCCGATTTTATTGAAAATAAATATTTCTATGTATATACCAAACTTGCGTACGTCAGATGGCGCATAACTCGAGAATGGATGGAGGATGGTCCACTTTCAGCTTTTTTTTTGTTGTATTTGTTTGCCAGATGATGGATATGAAGAAGCTATTTGTTTGTGGAAAATATGCAGTATTTATTAAACAAAAAAAAACGGCAAATATAAAAATTTGGAGCTTACGTTTCCTTCGCGGATATGGCTCGATTGTTTCGAATATGGTAATTCGAATTCTTTGATGTCGCACTTTTAATATTCTGGGGAGACTATACAACTGTCAGAATATTAACCATTCGCCGGGTTGCCCGAAAAAAAATTTAATGATTAAAAATATCAAAATATAAAAAAATATAAAAATATTCGCCATAAAAAGGCGTTTGCATTGTTCAACTTTGCATTCTACTTTCAACTAATCGCTTTCAACAAAGTTGGTCGCCAGCCAACATTCGCCTCGTGCGTAAACCTTTTAAGTGTGCAATTACATACATCGTGCCATTGACTAAACCGAACTGTCGTGTGACGATTGGGCCTATGGATGCGGTTTGGCAATGTTATATTGCGTCAAAGCCTCATTCGGAGACACCAGGATACCTTCGTTGGCTCATTTACCAAAACCATTGCATGCTTTACTTTACAGCGACTTGGCCGAATCAAGAGGTCTCCACGAATATCGACAAATATATTTCGGCATTTAAGGGAATTTCGTTTTTTTAGCCTACATTGAATTTCTGTAGTCCAACGATGCTCAACCATTTTGTCTTGTTGGCGCCAGCGAATGAAGAACCAACATTTCTTCAAATTTAAAAAGTAAAAATTTCACTACTAACAATTTAAAAATGTTCTTAAAACTTGCAAAGATATTTGGAAAAGAAATATCACTGTTTTTGTTTTTAGGAGTAGGGTGGGAGTGTCATTGATAAAATTAGAGCGAGAGAAAGTTTTTCTTACAAAACCTTTCATTATTGAATCATGGTAAGGTAAAACCGTTCTCTCAATTCGTCGGCCATGATTTTTTTTAAGTTTGCCAACATTTTAAAATCATATAAAATTGAGAGTAAATAAAAGGAATTGATCAAAGTAATTGTTCGAGATTGAAAATGAGAATGTGTGCAAACGTCAGGAATTTGAAAAATTCCTCTCAGCGATTGTACCTTCCTATTTTTTTTATCATGCTGCACAGTACCAGGATAAGGCGAAATATCGAATTGACTTTTTATTTATTTTAATGTCGTTTTTTTTTTTTTAGTAAATCCTTCGCACAGCTAATATTAGTATGTAAATCCGCGTTGAGGCCCCTTCATCGCCCAGGAGATTTATTTGGTCATTCCTTACGAGTAAGTATCGCTGGTTTAGAGAGAAAAGTTACATTTTGATGAATGCGGCAAGGAAATTGAAAAATGCCTCGTTTCCAAAAAGACCCAAGTAATTTTTTGATTTATATCCGTTTATATTTAGTTAAACGCAAATATGCTAAGTCCAAGAAAATTCCATCAAGACTATCACGGAATCCATCGTAGAAAATCTACGAATTCTTCGAATGCTTGCTACGAATTCGAAAACATTGCTATCATTGAATCCGAGGGAACTCGAAAATGTCCTTGCTAGCTTCGAATGCTGATTCGAAATCAGCTAGTGCAATATGTATGCCGTTTTGTTCACGCTGCCTCAGCAGTCGCGATGACCGCTTCAACAACAACAACCGAATGAGCAAAGTGCTAAACTGCCAATTTAGAGATCCGAGTTCGCGACCGAGTCGTCGGGCAGCGGAGCTTTTTTTTCTTGTCTCTTTTTTTATTATAATTTTTTTTTTTAGTTTAGATTTAACTCTTTTAAAGAGAATTTTTATGATATTAAAGTAATTAGGTTTCTGCCCTAAAAAATTGTTGTTGAACTATTATTTCCTCGCTTCATAAAAAATATGAAATAACGTCTAGCAGATGAATGTATGTATACATGATTCAATAATACAAGGTTCGATAAACCGACAGTTGTTTCTCTCGCACCGTTCCCTTAGCAGTGGTACCGTGTTGCTTCTTTGCAAATTTACATGGAAACAGTGTAGCTTTGGTGTGAAATAAAAGTATAAGCTTTTGTGCAATACGTTTTGTTTGTATATGCATATGAAGCATATTTAACTGATGAAAACATAAGCATTGGATGTTTACATCAATCTCATAGTAGCCTTATTTTAATTTTGAGTCATTTTGCAGTTTTTATACAGCTAAATAGCACATAAATTACGTCATTCACGTAGATATATCAATATTACGTTCAACATTTCGTTTAAAATGCCAGATTTCCTGCAAATACATTAGAATTTACAAAAGAAATTTCACTACTAATTGCCTACTTTGCGTACTTTTCTACTACCATTTTCGCAACAAGGGATTGCATTCTTGCCCTTTCTCTGTCCTTCGTAAATGCAACCTTTTGTAAGGGAGTGTCAAGCCGCAGCTGTCGATAATTATCTAACCTTGTATTATTGAATCATGGTACGTATGTATTTAAGTATGCGTGTATGACATTAGTATTTTACGTCTACATTTACGCAAATATATGAAATTATCAAGCTATAACAAATTTGGAGTATAACAAATATTTTTAAGATTCAGTGATTTTAAATTTTGTTCCGACAGCATAAACTCGTCTTAGAGTATCTGTACGAATCTTCATTACGAACTGATTAAAAGAAAGCCCTCTACGAATTTCGAACTTACGTTCGTAGCCATTCGGATTCTGTGATAGCACTTTCGTAGATTTCACGAAAATCGAAGCTACGCACAGTGCCGCCTAAGTGGGCATAAATCGAAAAATTCGTTATCTGCAATGTGAACTTGTTTGGTATTTCTGTAAAGACAATTTATCCACTAAAAAGAATTAAACAGACATTTCCCTAAAATATAATAATTATATGCCGCCAGGAAGCCACTAAAGTCGACAAATTTTATACTAAGAATTGTAATAAAAGCATAGTCAGGTGTAAGCTCTTCACAGAAAAAAATGTCAAAAATATATTCTTTAAAATAAAATGTTGGTTTGACGTTTTTTGTTTCCATATAGATAGTAGAGAATTGCAGGAATTAAAATTTTGGGATAAAATTAAACACAGGGTGTCCCTGCGGTGTTCAAAAAAAAAAACGATTTTTTTAAACAAAATTTCAAAAAATGCTAAATTTAAATGGAATGAATAAAAAATATATGTAAAAATAGGTTATTTTTTATTATTTTATTAAATAGTACAGGCTTTTAGCTTTCAAAAGAAGAAATAAAAACCTGCTAATTTTTTGCACTTTCTGAAGTAATGCGTTTTTCGCTAATCCATAAAATAATTTTTTCATTTTTTGTCAGTGCTTTGAGATCTGCACGATTCGTTTCATTTTCAAAAATGAAGTGTCAGATTAAAAACCTTAACCCGTGGACAATAAAAGGTTTATTTTTTTTAAAGGGTTGCCACCTGTTAAAAAATTAGATTGTTAAAAAATTAAATTCAAATTTTTTTTATAATTTAAATGAATTATTAAAAGATGGGTATCAATCGAAATGTGTATTAACTACATGTAGAGAGTTGCCACCTGTTTAAAAAATCAAATTCCACTTGAATTAAAGGAATTAGGTAATTGAAATAGATAGGTATCACCATAAGGGAGTCAGACGAAAGAGGTTTAAGAAGGTTTTAGCTTAAAAATATTACGAATAGGGTTGCCATCTGTTTGTAAAGTCGAACTTAGTTAAAATAAAATAATAATTACGCAAACCATAGGATTACGCCATCGTATTTGTTGTTTTAGTACAAATACATACATTGTCAAGCAGTGATTTGTTCTAATTACATTCCTTTTAAATTACTGGACTCTTAAATTAACTCAGGAATGTTTTTACTCTCCACTTATTTCTTGCTAAATATGTCAAATTTTTTCATTTGTCTTATACTCATATTGATGTACATATTTCAGTTACCTTATTCCCTTAATTAAAGTGAATTTGATTTTTTAAACATTTGGCAACCCTTCTACGTGTCATTTAGAGGTAAACTATTTACAAAACTAGTTCAATTGATACCCATTTTGTAATATCTAATTCATTCAACTTGATAAATAATTTTAATAAATCTTGAAACAGGTGGCCACCCTTTTAAAAAATAAAAAAACTTTATTAAACATCTACATGCCAAGCCCTGTCCTTTCACACCTCACTTTGGACTACTACTACTTTGGAACGAGCTATATGTACATACCTATGTAAAAGCCACAAGAACCCAAATTTTCTACTTCAAACTGCATTCACAGTGAAAGTATGAAAGTTATCCAAAAACCATTTTTGAATTTAGCGTCCTCAATTTTACTAAGAAGCGAATTTTCATTAAAATCCGTCCATAATTCTATTTTTGCCCACATTCCATATGGAAGGGAAGCACTGTGCTACGATGGATTCTGTGATAGCCCTGAATAAGGGCTTGTTCGAGTTGCAATCACAACCGCAGTGTTACGCAAATTATTAAAGTATCACGTGGAAATCAACTATTAAAGAATGTTATTTTTAAAAATGTATGTATAAATTATTTAAAAATATAGTCATATGAGAGCGGAAATATGTTCCAAGGAATCGTATCTATCCTCATTTTTAGAATTTTTTCGAGTATGCTCTTTTGTAGCCCATAAAATTTTAGTATAATAGAGGGTAAGTTTTGGCAATTTTTTGTTTTCTTCCAACGTATCTTAGAATCGAACATGAAAAGAGAGAGATAGGCAATCAAAAGGCCACATTATTTGGTAGAAACGAAAACGCCATTAGCTACCTAAATTTTGCATTTTACTATACTAAAATTGAACTGCATACTCAGAATGTTTCTAAGAAACTTAATTAAAAACCTCAAAAGTTTGGTGAAACATTGTTGTAGGCTTGGGTAGTTCTTGAATTAAAAGAACTAAAGAACTAGTTCACTAAGTTGAGTGAACAACAACTGAACGGTTCACTCTACTGCCAACTCTACTTTGTTGCATTTTCCTAATTTTTGTACATAGTTGGATATTTTAACTAGCACTTTCATAAAAATAAATATGGCGTTCCTAATATTTTGGCCATGAGTGTATGCAGCAAATAAGGAAATTTAATCCATGACCTCTTCGAAAACCCGGAAAATCACGCTTCATACTTTTTGCTCATTGTAATTCATTTCATTTTTATTTGTCGAAAGTTAACATCGAATGCATGAATACAATTGTTGATGTGCGAACAAAAAATAATAGTTAAATGCGAAAATAACAGGACGTTTCAAGATGACTCAACCGTACTATGTTCATTTGTTTTACATATCTCTTATTTGATCAACATTTGCAGCTACTTTGCCGGCGCCTTGTAACTTGTTGGAGTAGACAGAAATATTGGATCATTGGTCTGAGCTATTGGTAGCTCATTTGGTTGCTGCTGCATCGGTTTAAATATTGTAGTTTATTTGCGTATGTTGTTTTTTGATGGCTTATGATGTTTGTTTGGCACCGCCGGCAACACCTTACTCCTTTGTCTTCTTGTGTGAACGTGTAATCTTAGTTCTTCTTAAGACTTTCCTGCACCAGCGGCAGGTTCTTGCTAATAAAGCACTTGAATCCGCGATAGGCCCATGTGCACGAATCTGATTTTTGTTCATTCTTGTCGGCGCATTTCTCGATATCGGCTTTCACAGCATCCTTATTTTCCTTGCTTTGACCGAGTTGAGCAATCAGATTGTGTGTCTTGAAGCCTTCGGTGGGGCTGAACAATTGAAATTTGTTGAAGATGCACTCTATGTAGCATCGTGTCACCTCATCATCGGGAAATTCGAACTTCTTATACTTTTCGATGTGATCGACAGGAACCTTCTTTGCTTCCACACATTCCTTGCGCGCCTTCAATAAATCATCCTGATTGCGTAGCTTGTACTCCTCGGCAGCGGCCTGAAAAGAAAAAAAAGACAAGTAGAAGGGGTTAATGGTAAGGAACAAAAAAATTGTTTTGTTTTTTTTTTATAGTATTCAAGATAAGATTTTACGACTCCTTTTATACTTACCAAAGCGAACAGGGCGAGTAAAACGGCGGCAATATACTTCATTTTGATTTTGAAAATATTATTTTTTAAGGCTTCTAAGGATATATGAGGTGGTTGCTAGCGCAATTGTAAACGTCTGAGAATTCGAAAACTAACTGATAAAATATTCGAATAGAACTTCGTCTTATATAGTTGCTCCGATAAAAACAAGTGCGTCCATGTCAACTGAGTGGGTGATGTCGGTGCCAATTCCATCGGCATTACGCTTCTCATACTAACACGCATATGGCAAGTACGTATTTAATGATGTGTGTATCTGGATTCTATGGATGTTATTAATATATATATGTATGTATGTATGTATGTATATGGGTGTTTGTGCATATTATTTTATATGGACTAAGTGGTTGATCTGCAGAAGCGGGAGGTATTCAAGTGCATTTTGTTTAACTTTGTCGTTGCTCGTGTGTGTGGGGGTGTAGGTGTGCACATAAATAGTACATACAAACGTACTTATTTTTGCATGTGTATTCGCACAGTTACTAATCGCGACCGAAACACACAAATTGCCCTGTTAATACAAAACATTCTCAACTTAATCGCACATTCCCTACATACAACCTGACTGTTCTGGATTTAATGGCTGTCACTTAGTACAATATAGAGTAGTCTAAAGTGGTTGCGACGCGCATAGATTCCCATCAGGCAGACATACCAGTAGACAGTCGTTGATCTCGTCACGTCGTAATGATGACGATGGGTCACATTCACGAAATTTGGAAAATTTTCAATTTGCAACCAGGCTTAATTGCTGAATGTACATACATACATTCATACCTACATTAATATATATGTACATACATATGTACAGTGCGTATGTAAGTTTGAAAGGCAGTACATTACTGCATACATAGATATGTAAGTTGGTTTGGTATGCACATACATATGTACATATGTATGTATATTCACGAAGCGATAGTCCAAATAACTAATTGCAATATGTTTTTTTTTGTTTACTTTACAGTGGCGAAAAAATACTTGTTAAAATTTTTCTTTTTGTGTGGGGAAAAATGCGTGACAACATCAGCGAAAAAATTCTCAAACATCAACGGGACTTTTTACCTACCGACTTCACACATGTACGTTACTAAAATTTATTGGCCTAAGGCCGAGAATTCAATTCTGCTTAAAAATTTAGAAATTTTGTTGAAACTTTGTTTATTTTTCCTAATTTTTGTACAAGGTTTGCTAAAATATCGCACCCTATTTTTCTCCACCCCTGTATATATGTATGTATGTATGTAATTGGAAATATAGCAGTCTGTTGTTGCCTGCAAGTATGTACTTCTTCTATAGATTATATTTGTACATACCCAATTTGCCAAACGACGTCGTTTCCGACTTGGTCTGGTGTGCTTTTCATCCGACGGCGAGTTCGCCGGCGACGTTCGGCAACGATGAAAAGCCTAATTTATCGGCAGTCCGCAAAAACGACTCGCCGGAGAACCGCAAAAAAATATATATTAGCGGAAAACCCGACAATCCTAATGGCTTTGGTCCCTGTGGACCGACCCCGTAGAGGCTGCACGCTTCTTAGGGCTGCCGTTAGTGTGGAACTCGACGACAACGACTGAGATATCAACCGATCTGGGCGGGGTTGTTGTAGCCGCTACAACAACAACAACAACATGCATGTATTAGCGATCTGCAAAACGATGCTCAAAATTTTTTTAACAAAATCATACAAATCCAATTTCAAATTGTGTACAATATTAAAACAAAAAATTAATCAAGCATTCCTAAAAATTTCAATCTCCAACTCATTCTCCAACTCATCTCTAGCCGACGCGCAGATACGTAAAAAGTGATAGAAAAACGAATTTTAATTATCAAGAGAAAACCTTAAGATATATAAAGAGGAAAATGTCGTTTCAATCAAAAAGGTATAAGGTATTTTACTATTTCAATTTCAGTATTTCAATGATATGTTTGAGACCAATTGGAGAATTCAATTGGAGTTCAAGTTGACAACTAGGATTTTCTCAACTTAAGAAACAGTCCTTTTTTGCATACAAAGAAAAATGCCCTTTTTGTTGAGAACGCTATGATCCTCCACTTGAGGTACTGTTGAGAAACAACGTTGGAGATTTGAGAAATACCTTAGTTCTCAACTTAACCTCAAGTTGAGCTCAAACCTAAATGTTTATTGGGTATTTTTCTAATTGAATTACCGAGAGTTGAAATTGAAAAGTTTTAATGTGACTACAACCTAACAAATTGTGAAACATCGGAAACCATCGATATATCGATGTTTTTCTGGCGATGTATTTTAGCATCGATGTTAATTTTTCGGATGCATCGAAACATCGATGTATCGATGTTATCCTCCAAAATTTGCATCCCTACCCAAACGACTTCACCAAACTTCGATTCGAATTCGTCCCCGCTCTGTGGCAAATTGGGTATGTATGTACATATACATACATACATTATACATATGTACATATTTATTTTTTTATTGCTGTGGGGTATGATTTCTCACGAAAATTACCTCATTTGCTAATCAGTACAAATTTTTTAATTAGCTAATCCTCGTAGTTGGTTCATTTTTAAATGATGCATTAAACTCGGTTCAAAAATTAATTTTGGGTCTGGTTTTCTGTTATACCGCCACAACACTGTTGTTCAAATATGATTAGGAATTGCATAAAAAATATCGCTAAGCTTAGTAGTAGAGGTCGTTGTGTAGGATGTAGAAAGTTGAAAAATGCTCTGCAGAGAAATGCTGGGGGCAGCGTAACCGGATTTGGATTGATGGGAGTTAGTTTTTTGAAACGCGGCTGAAGGCCACCAACGCGGAAAATACTGTGGTCATGATTGTATGGTCATGATGTATTTACAGAAAATTTCAAAGTTCGAAGTTCTGAGAAAATACTCTACATTTTTAATCTTCAAGATTCTAGATTTATAATGACATATGTAGACATACACCTCGCTGCGGATTAGCTCCCCTTCCTTCTGTTCCGGGCTGGCAATACCTGGAACAGATTAAGTCGTCACCTAAATGCATGCTCAGGTCTTAGGTAAGACAAGCAGTGAGCCACACGATTTGCAGACCCATGTTGCTCAAGCCAAACAGCAACTATTAGCTCCACGGCCAACCGTAATTCACGCAATGCTCCGTTGCCTCCAACCTACCAAGTAGCCTCCACGGTAGACATGTTAAAAGTAGGAATGAAGATTTCAAAACCAAAAATAGGGGTATATTTTTTCGGTTTAGAACAATTTGGGGGGTGAGAGCATAAAAATTCCGACTTTACTTATTCACATTTTTGGACCACCCTAATGCTTTATACTGATAAATTTATACTACTTCTGTGTATACAACAATTGTTTCGTATAAAAACAGCAGTATCCATCCCTAAAATGTATAATACATACTGCAAGAGAATTATAAATGCGAGCGTTAAGTATGCAGGGCTGCGTACTTTTTTACAACCCCCTCACTTCAAAAGAAAGATAATGTACTAAAGTCTAGGGACGGTAATCTAAATAATGATTATTCATAAAATTCAAAAGGCCATACAGACGCAACTTACTGTAATTTTGACCCTACAATTTTGAGACCTATTCCTTTTATAAGGGTGTCACTACCTCTGAAAAGGATACATCGGAAATCACGCGGGTATAGCTTTTGAGTTTTTTGAATTATCATTATTTCTAAGTGAAAAAAATAAGACTTAATAATAATAAATAATTATCGTTGAGCGAAAAAATAAAAATCAAAAAATAATCATTATTTTTGATCGAAAAAATAAAAATCATAAAATTATTCATTATTTTTATCGAAAAAACAAAACTCAAATATTAATTATTATTTTTAATCTTTATTGATTAAACTCGCAAAATTAAAATAATTGTAAATTACATTAGGACATAAAAACACAAGTACGTGAGTATAGTTAAAATTGTTGTACGACGATTACAACTTGTTGATTTTTTTGGTCAAAATTCGACAAAATAATGATTATTTTCCATCCCTGTTAAAATCTAAAGAATAAAATAACCAAAAACAAATTTAAGTTTAACGGTTAAAGCAGAGTGGTATGAGGACTGGTACCTAGGAGCTACCTAAAGTTTCAACATTTTTCTGCCCTTTAAACACAAAATTTGTTCTGAAACAAGTACTTAAAAAAAACGACTTTAATTCTTATATACAAATTTAAGAGTACCCTTAATTTCTGCATGATCCATTGATGGGATTTAAACTAAATTAGTATGGGACCACCTGTGAGGTACCACCTTTCCTTTAATCATAGAAATCGGCCAACGTGGTCCAAAGTTATGCAGTAAGATACACAAAAAAGTTAATACAAAAAATATTCCGACGAATTGATAACACCCTCCTTTTTTTGAAGTCGGTTAAAAGTGTGTCTGAAGGATAGATGCATTCTTAAACCTACTTGAGAAAACGGCCCTTAGTATATTATCTTTCTTTTTCATAAAACCGTTAAACGTTGCATGCATTTTAAATGAGACGTATTCAAGAATCTGAGAGTGGGTGCATCTTTTTGACTGAACGATTTTAGAGATTTAAAATATTTTTTTGAATATTTAAAAATAGGGAGAATTTTCTAGACCAGATAGAGGGTATTGAATATTATAAGCCTTCGATACATACATACATATCTTCTAAAATGTCTGTAATGAAAAGTTTCACTCTGCATACATTCAAATGTACTCATCCAATACTCGTACATATGTACATACATACATACGAGCATAAAAGTCTTTCATTCGCGAATGAAACTTTGCGTGTTGGTCACTGCAGACTCGGTCAAACAAATGGGCAGACAATGCCCCCACTGATTCGACGGGCATCTTTTAGCCATGATTGTATGTACATATGTGTGTATGTTTTTAAGCGATACTTGTTATTAAATTAAAACATATACTTATGCAAATACATACAGTATTGGCCAATGAAATAGCACCCCCATTTCAAATTGATATTGTTTGCCACCCATTTTTATTTATTTATTTTTAGGAATTTTCAATTAAAATACAGTTTATTCTATAACAAAACTTCTTTCTTCCTTACAAAAATGAATTGTGTTTATTCGTTATATGGAAGCAAATGGGACAAAAAAGTGAAACTTGCACATTAT